AATTTAGACTTCCATTGGACATATATGGCATAACAAAAATATAATCATTTGTCTTTGGATTTTGAGACACCCCATAATATTGAATAATATGTCGCATGGTGGAATTAGGTTGACATTTAACAATATTTTGTAACTGTAGTGAATAAAAATGTTAAAATTTTAGAGTAATTTATTTATATGAATCAACGATTAATTCCCAAAATTTGATTTGTCAAAGTGAGTGATTGGCTGACATGTGCCGTGTAGCAGCGATTTCAACCAATCATTTGCTTAATTTTGTTAACTTTGTCATCACGTAATACAATATTTAATAATTATCCGACAAACATTTATGATTATGAATTTATTTTTGCTAATTAAAAGTGCGAACTATAAACTATTAAGTACAACAAATGTTGTGGCTGATGCTGAAATTTAGATCTATTTTGATATGAAATCTTAAAAATTTTTCCGTTTTTTTTTAGGGTTGGGTTAGAATCGGTGTGGCTCACTTCACGACGCTCATTTCGTAGATGTAACATTTCACCGATACTCCATTTTGTTTCGCCAACACTTATTCACCTACAAGTTCGTTTCACTACCAGCCTATTTCACCTAAGCTAAGTGTCGGTGAAATAAGTGTCGCAAAATAAATGCCGGTTAAAGTGAGGCGTAACGGTTAGAATTTGGGCTAGAATTGATGAATAAATGTATATGTGGATCTTAGCAGGGTTTATATTTTCAAATTGAGACCCAAATTTCAGCATCAGTCGAGATGATATATAAACTGTAGTTATTTTAAAACTATAGTTAACTACAGTTTTAAAGTAATCTATATTTATACTAATCGTAAATTATAGTTCGCATCGCATTAGTTTTTTTGTTATATCACAATCATGTTTGTTCCCGCCAATGGAAATTTGAAAATCATGACCATAAATTGCCAGATAGCATTACCGTATTTGCAGAATATAATACCCTTTGTGCCAAATATTGTAGATTTCTTTTCTGACAGCTTGTTGTAAACTAATGTGACGTGTATTAATTGTGATATTTAATTTTTTATGTGTAAAAAAAAAAATTTTGCGTAGGTACTTTATTCCGCAAAATACGGTAATATCAATATTGAATGAAATTTCTCTAATCATTTGTCCGATTAGACAAATTTTGCGATATTAATCGATTACAATATAAATTTAAGATTTATCTAATATTACCTCTTTTAAAAATTCAGAATCAATGTTTTGTGATTCTTTAAGGATTTTTAACACAACAATTTTATTCTCACTTCTTTTAAATCTACTTGTTCTTTCATTCCAATCAGATATTCTTCCTTTTGTCCATTTAGCAACATAGATTTCACTAAAACCACCCGTTCCAATTCGTTTTATATCTACAAAATCGTTGAATGGTATCCACTCTAATCTAAACTGAGGTTGATTATTATACGTTGCTTTGATCAATTTGTCAATATCTTGATTTCCGCTATTAACATGATAAAATAATGAATAATTATAGCAACTGTCACATAACTTCTTCTCATATACAAGCGCTTTTTTCCCATTACAGTTGGCGCATTTAGTTTGTTTGGAATGGCAACGATTGCACAGTTTATCTGATTTAAGTTTTCGGTTTTTATTACAGTTAACGCATTTTTTTTCAATATGCTTCATAATTATTGTGGTCTTACTATTATATCTGGTAAGTAAAATGACTGTCACAATTTGTATCTAGCAAGCGAAATTGCCATCACGATATGTATAATTTAAAAGCTTACGTGAATTTGTAGAAGAATCTTTTTTATGAGTAGAAAATGTCAGAATAAGGTAAATATCAGGATAATTAAAAGTAAAAATAGAGTTCATTAAAGAAAATAATTGGAGTAGTTATAAATAAAGGTTAAATTTGCCTTTTACGTATTTGAAGAGAAGATAAAAGTATTTATGTATACATTTAGCGCGTTCTATATAACTTGTACAATACGTTCAATAAAGAATCTAATTGGTCCGCAAATTTATTATTGAGCCCATTGAGATAGATCTACCACAAAATTCCCAAAAAATAAATTCCCGAAAATTATGTAACTAATGTTTAAGGTTCTTAGTACGTATCGCTATCAAGATTAATCACGTAAGATGGTGCTTTAATTGGTTTGAAGATTCAACATTTAAGCAATTTAATACTATATATATATTTATATATATATGAAGATATTATTGATCAATATACATAGTGAAAATAAAAGAACATCTATTTTCACCAAGAACATTTCAAAATTAGCAGAAAATCACGTATGCTACAAAATGAATAGAATTTTTCAAATATCATATATTCCAAAAATAAGCACCACTTTTACTTTATTTTTGGAACTATACGGTAGTATTTTATCATAGCATCTTGAACTATAAATCTTGATTTTCTAATTTTAATTTTGAAATCCCTTATTGATGTAATTTATCATGAAGTGAAATGGTAAATTACATAGTAGAAATAAGCATTCCCGAAAATGATTTATGTTGAAAAAACTTTGTAATATTCCGAGAATGGAGAACACATATCTTATGTAAGATTTTTCATCTTTTCAAATCATGGAACCTATTAAGATGCGCTTTAAGCATTTATGCCATAAGAAATAATTGCTAGAAAAAAGAAAATATACTATAAAATAAAGTAGCTGTGCAACGGATGCAAAATAGGTTATATTTGAAGTTCAATTGATAATGATCTGACATTATAAACAAGTTTTTTTTATTAACGATCATCGTTCCTTTCAAAGCATTTTATATAAACGTTCATTACTTCTTTTAAAGTAATTCGGAGATTATGCACATTCTTCTCTACGTATACCGTTAAAACGACAGAGAATACAAGTAACACGTATATCTCATACAATATACAAATATAGTGCCACATAATGCACAACGTGAAGTATAAGTGCGTTTTTACTGCATTTAGTTTATTGTCCAATCAGATATAAGACTTTGCGGACATGCGCATTTAAAAATGCCATAGTAACCATACGCTTCGTAATACTTACGGTACATCTGAAGTGGTTAAATACATAGTTTACGAAAAAAATCTCATGGACATTGAAAGAGAAAGTAATACGTAAATGTATCACGAGGTTGTACTATTCAAATAATTAACGAATCAGAAAAGAGTGAGCTAATTCTCTTAAAACCTATTTTTGTACATATTATTCTTTAAAAATTTCCAAATTTAACCCAGATTTAGGTACAATAAAATTTGCAATATCTTTTAATTACGGAAAGTAAAAGGCAGCGTATAAAATCTATGTACACAATGTGTTAGTGCTCATTTTTAAAAAAGGTTCACATGTTTTTGCCTCTAAATGTCATGTAATTTACGAACTTTTGCTCTAAATAGTGCACCATAATCATTTAGAAAATGCCAAAGATGTGTACATAATTTAATTCAAATTTTATATATGCAATTATATAAAAACATATAAAACATAAATTGTTAAAATTATTCACATAAATTATGTGTATACTGTGTACAAGATTCACATACATTTGAGTTCAGATTTTATACACCACTAAAAAAAAAACCAACATTCAAAAGCTGGTTAATTACAGGTCAATTTAACAATTGACCTAGTAAATTCAGACAATATACAGTATATAATATATATACATCTAATTAGTACTAAAATAGTAAATTCGGATTAAAAAAAAACTACAAAAAACTCTATAAAATTCAAAAATATTTTTTATTTGTTAGTTACTGTAAATAAATATACCTACCTGCATTGATATTACTATATTATTGTTGTTTCATCATGAAAAATTTAATAATCTTCTAAGACAAAAAAAAAGCATCAAATTACTAATCAAATTTCACATCTATTCAAAAATTGGTGTGTGACATTTAAGAATTTGAACGAGAATAAAAAAGTTTTTGCAACATTAAATTTAAATTGAAGTTTTAGATAAATTAAAAAATAACAAATAATAAAAATAAATTTGATGTAAATACATTTTAATTGTTCGAATTGATTGTAATTTGATCTCGTGATTTCATCTTATGCTTATGCTCAGATTGAATTTGCTTACGTATATATCTGATTTGGTGCAATGCTAGGTAATTCATGGCTATTAATCATCAGATTTTGAATATGCAACACAACAATTAATTTTCTGGAATCTGTTTTTGGGATTTTATGCCAGAACCATTTTGATAGGTGTTTAAAAACGCTCTTTATTTTTTAAATATATCACCAAGACTTTTTTAGCTTCAAAAGTGTTTGATCGCCATTTTCGCCGACACAGTGCTGGCCATTTTAGGTCATATCCAACTTTAAATAACCATGATGATCATAATGTAACAGTAAATTTTATGAGTCATACGTATCATGTGCTACTTTACTGTGTGTTGTACTCTTCAATTTAAAGATAAAATTTAAACTATCATATTTATGTACCGGGTATATAAAATTAAAAATCATACAGTATATGAAAGTAACCCCTCTAGCATGACCGCCAAAATCAGTTACATAATCGCTGTTTAAAATCTGAGATCTTGTAACCCAGCGCATTTTTATCGTATTATATTATAACGATAAAAACTTATACTGCGAAAAAAATTATTACAATAAAATTTAAAACTTATATTGCGTAAGATATTATAACGATAAAATTTAAAATTTTTATTATAAAACTTATATTGTGTAAGATGTTATAATAATAAATTTTAATTATTGCATAAAAAGAAAAAGTCATGTTCATTTGAAACTATTTGGTGAACTTTGCTTTATATACTACAAGAAATATTTGTGAATTTTAAATTTACTACCAATAAAAAGTATTCTTGTTTTGTTTATTCCAAGTTTTTGGAAGGTTTATTGCTTGGTTCAGGTTTTTTATATCATCTTTTGAATTGACTTGAAGTTTGATTCAATATTTTTCAACCATTTCTTTTGCTATAGAAAGTTATAAGATTTTTTAAGAAGTTTAAGTGTCTATATTAAAATAATGTTAATATTACTTTTATTTATTATGTTATATGCTGAATTCAATAAAAATAATAAATAAATTATATGGTGTGTGGGTCCCATAGCTTAGTGGTTAAGCTCCCATACCCCCCACAGTCAAGGTCAACAGTTCAAGTCTGGCTGGAGGCAAAATTAAAAGATTTTAGTTTCTGTAACCTAATAAGGAGCCTGTAATTGAACATGAAACTCTGTGGTTAATGTCCAAGTGCAGTACAATTATGAAAGTAGAAATTCCTAAAAGGAGACCCAATCGTGAAGTGGAGGCACTATGCATAACAAATAGTTGTTATAGAAGGTTACAGTTATGGAAGGATTGCATATGTAAGTCCTTTAGCCTAGGGTAACATCAACATCCTTATACCTCCTAATATAGGCAGTACCAACATCTCTGTACCCAACTTGTGGGATATTTGCTTGGAAGGATAATCAAT